TTGAGTCACAGGCTAGTATTACCAGGAACACAGTTCCAAGATGATGGTCTGGCTCAAGTTCCCTTGCAAAAAAAAAAAAATCACACCTCGTGCAGGGGCCTCAGATGGACMTGTGTTTGGTTATCACTTCAATCTCTGGTTCCTATTCTGCCCATTCTGATGTATTCTTTCTCATTTCAAGGTATTTCTGACTCATCTCCTGATCATGTTAACTTAGGTCTAAATAAGATTTATATTCACATTTTATGAACACACTTCCCAATGTACCTTCTCAGGTTCCCAAGTACCATTTTGATTCAGGAATCATTTAAAATCACTGGAGTGGTAGTGATGCCTGGTATTTATGTCTGGTATTTATGTCTTCAGGAGTCTCAGGGTGGCCCCAGCAGAAGTCCTAAAGACATCAATATCAAGATTCCAAATAGATGTGGTTCCTGATGGGAAAGAATATTCTACATATCCAGAGAAGCACCCTCCTTTTAGCAGAGAGGATGGCAAGAACAAAGGCCCTGGCTGGGGATGTATCTGGTGGTCTAAGAACAAGTGAGATGGTCAAGATTCCTGGAGAAGAGTCAGGGAGGAGGGTGAGGAATAGATAAGGGCAGATATTTTTTTGTGGGGATCCAGATGGCATAAGGTCCTATATATCACCATTTTGACTTTTATCCTGAGTGAGTTGAATGTTACTCAAAAGATTTTGAGGACAGGCTGAAGGGAGGCCATCTAGGGGAGAGGCCAAGGGCTGTGTAGGGTTGAGAAACTTTCCACAGGACCCACATTTGCACCTGACACAGAAATTTTCACTAGATCCTGGACTTTGATTATATGGGATGGTMGGCTGTCTTCTTTCAGGAGGAGTTGCATTCTGTGTGCAAAAAGAAGAATGCAAACATTTATTTGGTGACCAGCACCAAAATCATCTTCTGATTCTTCCTGGACACACGCTCATCTAGTTTCTTAGCCTCTGTTTCAGCTGCTTCCAGGTCTGGCCCATAAACACTGCCTGTCTTGGCACCTTGGTGTACCTTTCCTTCCGTTGGCTCACTGGATGACTCACCAGGGTGAACTTGGAAGTCATGGAAAGTCAAATAGAGCTTGGTACTGGAACTGTGAAGTGAATCATCTTGCTCTAACTATAAACCCAGACCAGCTGAGGCATGAATCATATTTCAACACACATGCTTCCCCCAATGTCACATCCCCATCCCTCATGGTCAAGCCTTCAAATCTGATGAGGTTTCAGCCCATCAGCTCCTGTGACACCAGCTGACCCAGAATTTCCCAGGGGTGATTCTCCACATATTGATGTATTCTAATTCCTAGGTGTAGTAAAAGGCTTAACTATGGAAAACCTAGTTAACAATATACAGAGGTGTGTCTAAGTCTTGGATAGCTTGACCAAGGTGACAAATAGGAATGTATCTCTGGTTTGTCACCTTAAAAATACCATGGAGGTGGAGAGAACTCTTGGTGGGATCATTGCCCAATTTCAGCACCTTCAGGGGTTTGTAAGAGAGTCTTGGAGCCCACAAGTTATTTCAGATATTTTTAGGAAAGAATTCCACCCATRTGGCTTTATGCATGTTTGCGTGATGAATGATTTCATGTGAACCATCTCTTGAAAGCACATGTGACGTTGATCTAATATGCATGTAACTTGAKGCTGACCTTGCCTCCAAAGAAATCTCCTAAAATATTCAGTGCAACACTGACCCTGCTTCTTTCAAAACATTTAATGTCTGTCCATGTTGCCTGAAGCTTACAGGTGCATGCTGTTTTCTTGAATTTATTAAAAATTATGCCAACCAGTTGTGAGGCCTTTTCCTTGGTGAGGCCCTAGAGTAGATATTTTGATCCTTTACTACTGGGTCTTCCATATAGTAACTGCTCATTTTCCTACTCCACATAATTCAGGTGGGGCTATCAATTAAGGGACAGAGTCCAGCTCATTGTAGTGGTTACCTGACCAACGATGGTCAAGCATGAATCAGTTTGAAGGAGTTTCAGTAGATTCTGGAAGATAATGTCTTTTCTAAGATCATGAACCTGGATTCTCTGACACCTTCTTTTTCATGAAGCCAACTGCTACACAAAACAAGACTGAGAAACTGGTGAGGGACAAATTGATTCCTAATGGCAGCTTTCAGCCTTTGGATTTAGCTGTGCTCAAAACCAAGCRTTCCAGACTCTTGGATTTAGTTGCATTAGAAAATTCACTGTGTGAAATTTAATGATTAATCTCATGAGTTGTTTTTTTTTATTACTTATAAGTGGAAATTTTAATTAATGTCCCATGAACTATAGGATGGCAAGAGAGTGAGTATATTTTTCTCACTGACCTTTCTCTTGAGGGTCTCATTGCCTGTATATCTTTTCTTTAYATATACACACATTATTCTTCCATTGCAACCACATGAATGGATCTCTTATTTGCTTTACCTTTTGAAGGCACTGCCTTCCCTGTGTGTTGCAAGCTAAATGAAGAAGATGAACAATACCTCCCAGCTCACTCATTCTCATGGATTTTCTCTAGGAGACTTTGTTTGAGTTTATGACCTTGAAAAAAGTCCCATTGGGAGTAGTTACTTCACTAGGATCTTAATGTTCAACCCAACCACTTAGGACCACATTAAGAAAGCTTCTATTCATTTCAATCCTGTATTTTCTTATTCATTGGAAAAGCGATAATAGGGTCATTTCCTATTCATTTCAAAGGGCCTTTGTCTGTCCCATTAACAGCACCSTTTCTGTACTATAGTGCCCTTAGCTTTACATTCATGAACCCAGTGTGGGCATGATCCTTTAGACCAAGGATTGACAAACTAAAGCCCATAAGTCAAATCCAGTCAGCTGCCTAGTTTTGTAAGTAGTTCTACTGGAACTCAGCCACATCTCTTCATTTATGTATTGTCTATGGGCTCATTTTTAGTTGCTACAGAGACTATATGGCCATAAGCCAAAAATGTTTTCTGCTAAGCTCTGTTCTAGATTAGAGCTTTTTGATTGTTTCCTCACTATGAGCTCCAACAACAAACGGGATTCAAAAAGTATCCTGAGGGATCAAGGAAGGAGCATCTTAACAATCCTTTGGGACATGCCACATGGAAGGGTCCACCCTAGGCCACTTGGGGCAGGGCAAGTGCATACTAGGGAACAACACAGCACATACTAGGGATACTCCTGACTGATAGCTCCATCTTCTTGAGAGAGCTGAGGAGTGAGACATAATCCAAATCTTGGTTCTGAAGGTCTTATCTTTGGATTCCACATGGATTTCAACTTTGGCCAAGGCTGGTAACTTTTCCTGCTCATGGAGGTAGTGATCCACTGGGCAACCTGACTTCCCATGCAATAGTCCCTGCTGTATAATTCTACACGTGGCTTCAAGACGAGACTTAAAAGTACAAAAAGATGTTTCCACTGATGGGGTCAATGTGAGCCATTTGTGGTTTGAAACTCACTACAGCACACTGGTGTTAGAGCTATACTGTGCCTCTGGATATGTAGTCAACATCTGTAATAAGTTATTACAGCCACTACCCCTCTCTCTCCTGAACAATGCTCTAGTCAAGCACCCTTCTTCCAAACTGACTTCTCGGAGCCCAGGATACTAACTGATGTCCTCAGCTTCGCCTCTGTCCCTCTGTCCCCCAATCATTCCAGCTGTGAAATCCCAAGAATCCATCCCATTTTGAAATCCCATCAATATATGCTTTCTTTYCCCCGTTTTATTATGGCATAAATTAATTGCAGAAGCTAAAACAAAAATGACAGTCCACTCTTTATATGGGGCAGAAAAGTGGGTSGAGAACCATTCAACCAATAGAAAGAATGAAACTGCACGTTTATTTGAAAGTATAAAATTTTTTTAAAAATCCAAAAAAAAAAACCCAAATAAACCAAGCCTAATCAAAAAACAAAAAGCAATCAAACATAACCTTTCCAGTTTACATTAACTCTGAACATCACACATTATTTATTAACCACTTAGTTGCATTTTTTTTTTTAAAAAAAACATCAATTATAAAGTAGAGGAAAATACAGTCAGGCAATAAGCTAGCAATCACAGTGAAACTATCTTAATACTAAAATAAAACACTGATCTCGTTTGAGAAAAGAAAGCAGAGATCATTTTCTGGTTGGTGTAGATTTTTTTGTATGTAAAAACAAAATCCTGGTTGGAATGAGTTAAAAAATATTGCTAGCCACTTATCTGACATCTTGACTGTGGTAGCGGGGGATCCAAAATCCTGCAGCTTTGGTGTCTTTTATATATGTGTGTGTGTGTGTGTGTGTGTGTGTGTGTGTACATATATATATATATATTTTAAAAATCCATTAAAAATCAAATCTGTAATAAAAATGTCCCTGTGTTTGTTTTTAAAAACAGCATTTAATAGACTCCCCTTATCTCCTAAAACCATTTGTTTTTCCTAAGATGCCTAGAAGCAGAAAAGCGGGTGAGATTAACTCACCACACAATTAATTAAAATTAGAATACTTTCCTCTAAACATCTTCCAGAGCACCAGAAAGAAGCAGGGGCCCACCAAAGGGAAAGACAAAGCCATTCTGACTCACAGAAGACGGCATGTGTAGCCAGTCACACACTGTCTGCCATCCAAGTTATTTTTATTGGATTATTCAGGAAATAAGTACTATTTTAAAAATGAAAGACAAAGGCAACTAGTTTCCTTTACTTAAAAAAAAAATAAAACAAAAAACAACAAAACAAAACCCAGTGGCTAGCTTTCCTGTAATATACTTTGGATTTGGTTAAAAAAAGAAAAGTTGACAGAAAGGGTCACTGAAGGCCACTCCGTCCCCTCTTCCTGCTGGCTCTGTTTGAATTGGCGTCAGATAGGTCATTGACAGTTTCTTCTGCTGTGGAAAGAAGGCTTGAATAGGTGGTAGCTGCCCAGAGTGGTGCCACCTGGTTCCAGTTCTGTCCCTCCTTGGTGTGGTTTCTTGCCCAACAATGCCTACGTTTTTAACCCATGTCTCCCTCACAGGGTGGGGCCTGTGGCTGGCTAGGCATAGAGAAGAAGGAAAACTAGCACAAATATAGACTAGAACTGAAGGACACGTCTGTCTGCATCCTTCAAGGACTCCATAAATAATAACCTCAAAGCGCGACGACAACGCACAAATGCTTGGCACACTGGTCGGCCTGGGGTGACTTATCATTTTGCATTTTCTTTGGACCTTACTAAAGAAAAAACAAGACAAAAAAAGAGACAGCTTTCCTATACACATATAAATAGTCCCTTAACTAGAAGGGAAAAAAAAAAACAAACACACTGTTTCAAATGCATTTCTAAGAGATTTTTAAAAATCCAAATGGAAAATCTTGACTCCAAACTGTCTATTTGCCCATGTGTCTCAGAGGAGAAATTCTATGGGGATGTTAGGAGGGACCCGACCCTGACCCTAACTTGGCGCTCTGGTCCTGGACATTGGGTAGGAGGGTGTGAGCCGCATAGGTTGCTGGGAGCTCTCAGGGGAGGTACTGAATATGGCTCTTGTTTCCTCAGATCCAAATGCACAGGTGAAATCTGGGGTAGAGAGGGAACTTGGGAGCCTGGGGTTGAAGTTGTATGGATGAGCAAGACAGGCAGGGTGTGGTCTACTGGGGAAAAGGGCCAGATCAGATTGTTGGCTAACTCCGGTTGAGTCCTCATCCTTTGGCTACAGCAGGTCAGCTGGAGGYGTGACCTGCTGAAGCCAGGGAGAGGACCATGGGGCCACACAGACCCAGGTTCTGATAGCATGTTGGTGCAGAGAACTTGGTCAAACTCATCAGATACTTCTCTGGGTYGAGGCTGATGATCCACACGCTGGAACATGCTCTCCAAACAAGGATTCTGGGGCACATTTTTAAAGCCAGAATCTACCCAGGGTCCTTCACAAAACCAAAATGACACTGCTGAGAGCCARAGGGTGTCCTCATGTCAAAGTTTTCTTTGGCCACTGCCTCTGCTGAAGTGAGAGCAAAGCTAGGATGATGCCAGGCAGGTTTGATGTGCACTTGGACGCATTTTAGGGTGGCCCTCCAGTGATGGCCTCCTGGTAAGACCACCTAACCCAGATCCCCAAGTGGAGCTACGAGGGTGCAGCCCAGCAGAAAACCTGGTCCAGTGTCTTCTGCCCTTCTGGACATGCAACACGGCACAGAGACACTGCTTCTCAAAGATCATTGCATCYTGCTGCCCACAGATCTGCATCTGCTGCTCAGAGGGATTCCAACATTAACAGAATGACGTGGAACATGAGGCTATGACTGTGGGCCCCGTAGGAACAGTGACCTCACACAAAAGATGGCCATGCTTCATGTCAACTAAGAAGCCAGAAAAATGCCAGGTCTCCCTCCAAAGAATATCCCGCCATGTAGGGAAGGAGATGAATGGGGAGGCAGCTGACACGGCCAACTTCAACTTGAGACACCCTGAAAGGAGCTTCAGCAGCTTCTCATGGGCACAAGTTGCTAGAATGTAACACGTTGGAGCAGATGAGCCCATGTGGACTTTGGAACCGCTGGATTTATACTTGTTCAGTGCCCTCAGTGGGCACAGAGTCCCTGGGCTGAGCGGTACCCTCCGCAGGGCCAGGCTGCCCTGGGCTGTGGCTGGCAGTGTCTTCCACGCTGAGGAGGCTGCTGGCTGCCTGGGAACTGGCGCTGTCCGCGCTCCCAGACCGTGAGCGGTAAGGAGGCAGGTCGCCTTGGTTCAGGGACTCGGTGTCAGAGGAGTAGGGTGGTGGAGGAAGGTCATACCACGCAGGTCTGCAATGGAGAAAGCAGGTTGGGGCGGCAGGGACGGTGGGGAGTGGAGAGAAGAGAACAGATTAGTGCTGAGACAGAACAGGGGGCAAGGATCCCGTGCCAGCGTCAGTCCATTTCTGAGCTGATGCTTCAAGTGAGGAATGACCTTCCCGGCCACTGCAAGGGCAACTCAAGGACAAGGAAAACCAGTGGTTTGAAACCAGAGAAAGAAAACAGGTCAGTGTGCTTTGGCTGGTCCATATCCTCTGGGCAGGGCCAATACCACGTCCTCTGTGTGGACCCAGAAGGAGGGTGCCACGCTTAACCTGGGTTGTCTGGCAGAGCTGCTCTGCTCCTGGCGGAGGGCCCCATGGCCAAGGGGCTGAGCTGGCATCTCAGCCGAGCCTTTGATGGGCCTCAGAATTTGGGGTTCTCACTAGAGCTGTGGACTTGGGTAAGTGAGAGGACACTCTCTCAACAYTTCCATCTCTATCTGTACCTTGCTTGAAATGAAATCATGTAACGGAAAACACATTGTCTTCTTAGCTCCTGTTACTGAAGGCTTGCTCCAGTCGGGCACCGTGCCGTGCACTTCCTGTCACCATCTTCGATGCCCACAAAGGAGGTGGGCATTACTTCTGTGCCCATTGTACTGGTGAGGAAACTGAGGCACGGGACAGGAAACGGCAGTGCTGGGATTGGAACCCAGGCACCCTGCCTTCAGGTTCAGCAGCGATGATACTATGGAGTGTGACTGGTGAATGTTGGTCTCTGCCACTGCCTACAGCCACCCAACTCAGGCTCTGGGAAAGGACCTGGGTGTGTGCACATAGGCCCCTCCCCCGGGTTCTGCGGCCCAGCACCCACCTTTGGTCCAGTAGGGCCTCCGAGTAGGAGGGCGGGGAGCCCACTTCCGAGGCGTTCTGCTCTGCCTGGCTGGCCACGTACTGGATGCCGTTGTTGACGTTGTAGGTGACGTTGCAGTGGTGGGGGTGGTCCAGGACCACCAGGCGGGACAGCAGCACCGGGTGCTGCAGCCGGTGCACGGGCAGCGTCATGAGGTTGTTCCTCTTTCGCTGGTGATGCAACACCAGAGCCAGCAGGGCCACCACCAGCACGAAGATGACGGAGCTGCCGATGATGGCGTAGGTGATGCTGGGGTAGTACACCAGCTGGTTCTCCGAGGTCACGAACACCTGTCCGCTGCCCGGCTCTGGGAGACAAGAGGAAAGGGTTCCAGGTTAGCTCACTGTTTGTCTTTTGAGGTCAGCCCCAGGACTCACATGCAAATGTTGACAGTGTCACCATTTACAAGGGCAGCGACAGTGAGCAGGTAACAGAAGGAGATACATCCACGCGTTGAGTAGTTATCCAGCCAACACCGTGGCCAGTGCTGACAGGCTACAGGGAAACCAGAGAACCGCTTCAAAAACACTGTTCCATAAAAGAAGCCAGACCCCAAAGACCACACGGGATTCTGTTTATATGAAATGCCCAGGACGGTGAACTTACAGAGGCAGGACGTACAGTGGATGCCTGGGGCTGGCGAGGCAACGGGGATGATCTGAAAATGGCCAAGAGGGATCTTGCAGGGATGATGGGAATGTTTAAAACCAGATGATGAYGACGGCCATACAGAACAGAGAAATTACTAAAAATCATTGAATCGTACACTTCATTTTGGCGAATTTTATGTTATTGTAAATSAGGCCTCAATAAAGTTGCTTAGGAAGCCAGCCCCAGGAAATGTAATGAACATCCAGGGGACAGGAGCGAGAGTTCTCATGGCAGGAACTGGGTTTTCACTGGAAACTGGTAACATAACTATAAGAGGAACACGAGGTGTATCTGGGCTCCTTGTCTGTAGAGTGTTTGTCTGATGCCAGGTCCCAGGTGGATCCTTCTAGACTGAGCACTAGTGGGCACAGGCTGACCATGGAATCTGGTGTCACACTTGGTCCCAGTCTCGGCCCCTCGGCTTACTCACTCTGTGCCTTTGGAAAAGCGCTACCTGCACAGGGCTGCAAAAGGGGGACAGGCACTCTCTGGGCTTCTGGAGTCTGGAATATGTCAACAAGGATCAAGCTCTTCCAACAAGGGCTCAGACCTCTCGACACTTAAGATGCTCAGGTAAGAGGCTTCCCAGAGGGTGGGACACACCTGGCCTCCACAGGAAGGTCCAGGCAGGCACAGGACACCCAAATATAGACCAGAAGTAGCAGCAGTGCTAAGAGCTTTATTCTGATCCTCAACACAAGCTGTGTGTCTATTTTATTCATTACTGCATCCCCTAGGTGTAGGATAATGCCTGGTATACAATAGGCACTCAATTAATGCATACAAATCAAGGGTAAAATCTGTTTATTTACACCCTTTAGTAAATTAGGTTCCCTTATTATTTCTATTTTTCAGATGAGCAAATTTGGCTCAGAGAGGTGAATTAACTCATCCCAGGTACCTTAGTAGTCTCAGATGAACCAGGGCTGGAACCCAGATATTTCTCTTTCAAAAAAACTGCATGCTGTGAAACACACTCTCTTTTCCCCATTCGTGATATAAAGTTTTCCTGTTTCCCCAAATAATTCTTTTTTTCTTTTTTCTTTTTTTTTTTTTGGTATCTGGAGATTGAACTCAGGGGTGCTTGACCACTGAGCCACATCACCAGCCCTATTTTGTATTTTATTTAGAGACAGGGTCTCACCGAGCTGCTTAGCACCTCGCTTTTGCTGAAGCTGGCTTTGAACTCATGATCCTCCTGCCTCAGCCTCCTGAGCTTCTAGGATTACACGCTTGCAGCGCCACACCCAGCCCTAAATAATTCTTCTCTGAGACAAATGAAGACCCCCTCCCCCAAACTTCCATTTCTCTGTTAATTTTCCTTTCCAGCCACACCAAAACATGGACCAAAAGCTTCCAAGATTCTCCAAGTTCCTGGCGGTGATCATTTCAATGTGCATTACAGATTTTAATTGTACAGGAAGACGTCAAGATAACTCTGGTGAAAAACAGGACCACTCTGCCACACAGTTAAGAGAAGGAGGTGATTTGGGATTTTTCTGGAGACAATTAACTGTCACTCTTTTCTTACCTTAATTAAAAACTGGATGGGGACTCGTGTGTGTGTGTGTGTGTGTGTGTGTGTGTGTGTGTGTGTGTGTGTTTCAGAATTCAGGCTTCAAATATTGCTATTTTGTTACCTCCCAGACAGAGCTACAAAGTCGCAGAGACTTGAGGTGCTATCCTAGAGTCATCAAGGACTGGCTGCTTGGGCTCAAGCAAGTTATGTAACTTTCCTAAGCCTCAGTGCCTCATTTTTACAGAGATGGCAGGCAGTACCACGTAAGAACGGCACACATCTCCCTGGATTATGGGGGTTGCGATACATAAGGGCTGAGCACAGTGCCTGACAAGGGTTTGCACTCAGTCATGCTAGTTCTTTTAAAAAGTGATCATTAAAAAATTATGACAATGATAAAATATATATATAGCACCCAAACGCTTTCTAAATGTGTGGCTTAGGGGCATGAAGCACATCACAGTGCTGTGCCGCCATCTCCAACTATCCATCTTCAGAATTTTCCCTCAGCTCGAACTAGCTAGTCCCAGTTCTCAGGGTTCACAGTCTCAGGTTATTCTTTTCAACTTTTCCGGACCAGTGGCAGAAAAGGGAAAGCACCCCCTTTGGCAGGGAGCGTGGGGTAGATTTTCACACGGAAAACAAAGGGCCCAGAGAGGTTTAAATGCGGACTTCTGTGTAACCATTTGCAGTATTTAGTATACAAGTGGGTTGTGATGGGGTGGTGRTGCACACCTGTAATTCCTGTGACTCGGGAGGCTGACRCAGGAGGATGGCAAGTTTGAGGTCAACCTCATTAACTTAGTGAGACCRYGTCTTAAGGTACAAAATAAAACAGGGTGTGGATATGGCTCAGTGGTAGAGAACCCCTGGGTTTGATCCTCTGTACTGAAGAGGAAAAAAAATAAGAAGAAATGGGGAGCCCTTTTAAATGAATAAAAAGTAAATGCTTTTGGATCATAACRATCTCACTGTCTCCAGACGGGCCCGCTTTGGCAGGCAAGAGGCTGTGAACACATTGGCTGGAGAAATTATGATGTTGTATAACTCAGTGGTGCCTGGTCTCGTTTTTGCTCTATGTGTAGAATGTCATCTCGTATTAATTCATTAACTAGACCCACTTTTCTTAAGAGCTTAATGAGCCTGCTGGCCAAATTACTAATATCCGAGTTGCCTGGGTCCTACGTTCCAAGTGCGTAATCCCCGGATAATGAAGTTTCCATTTTTTCTGGCTGTCCCCCAAGCTAATGCCCTCGTGCCCCCCTGCCACACATCCTGGATCCCCACCCTGTGCCTGCAACTCTACCGCATCCATTCCAGGCAATCTGCTACCACCCCGAAGCCACGGCTTTCTCTAAACGGCTGTCGCCGGCAGCTCCTGGTGGCGTGGGCTGTGTTTGCACGGCCCCTGGGTGCTCTTCACCTCAAGTTGTCACACGTTTGTGCAGTTATCATGCCAGTCTTCTAGCAGATGGCAGTGGAGCGTCCTGAGGAGCAATGCGTCTCGCTAATGCACTCAGAGGTGCAGTCTGGATGGGCAGAGGCGCCAGGGCAGCTGGTACTTGTGACTCGGTGTTCCCTTCCTTCTGCGGCATTCCTTCCTCCAGATGCAAACTCAAGTTTCCTGGAGGACACTATTTTTTTTTTTTTTTTTTTTTGCCCATCAGATTGGCAAAGGCCCAGTGTGAGCTCACGTTTTGTTGGCCAGGTCTTGGGAAAACAGGTATCTCGGTGCCTGGTATATATGCAAACGGGTGTGGGGGTGATTGATAGAAAGTGGGGCAGGCAGAGAGGGACTAAGAGGGTGGAAACTATGGTGGTGAGAGGTGGGACTTTGGGAGGTGAGCACTAGACAGGGTCATCAGGGTGCAGCTCCCGTGCATGAGTCCTGGTGGTTTAATAAGAAGTGGGAGAGAACAGAAGAGACAGACGCCATGCTCCCTGTCTCATGCCACATGGTGTCCTCTACCCCCCCGGGATTCTGCCAGCAAGAAGGCCCTCCCCAGATGCAGAAGAATATGTAGCATAGTTCTGGAAGGATGCACAGACACGATGATGCTGGTAGCTTCTAGAGAGGGGAACAGAGGCTGGTAGAATGCGGCAAGAGGCTCTTCCTTGGCTACTCTGCACCTTTGTACTGKATTATCCACCAGAAAAACAAACACAGCCTCTCTTCCTTCAGCTCAGCCTGGGTCAGCGTCACTGTGTCCCTCCCATCTCTCCTGTAGCTGCAAGGCTTCCTGGGGCTCCTGCCTCCAGGCCCATGGTCACAGCAGGTGGGGTGCATGGTCATAGGGGGACGCCTTGTTGAGGGGAAACTCCTGGAGGATGGCCCCCGCCTGCAGCCTGACCTCTTGAGTTGAGAATTCCTGTTTGGGAATATCTGCTGCAAAAATGAGCAGCTACGCCTTCGGGGCCCTTCCTTGCCTCAACATTCTTTCCAGCTCCGCTGGAGTCGGTCTCCTCCTCTCCATCCCAGCCATGGGAACCACTAGTCTGTCTCCAGTGTCTGGATCTGGATCTCCTTTCCCAGAAAGCCACAGGTAGAGTCGAGCAGATGGGGCCTTTCACATCTGGCTCCTTCCTCAGCTCACTGCCTGAGATCCACCCAGGCTTCCCTGAGCGGCATTCAGTGGCAGAAGCACCACAGTCTGTTTGGCGATTCCCCAGCGGAGGGTCTGGGGACATGCCTGCTCCCAGTTTTGGAAACGCAGGTCTTTGTAAGGACACCCATTTTCACATTTCTTGGGCCCAGCAAGGACAGATAACTGGTTCGCTGGGAAGCAGAGGTGTGACTTGACAAGTACCGACCCACTGTTCTGCGCAGCTGCAGTGGTGTTCTGAACACCCTCCACCCTGCCCCGCAGCATCTGCGTGTGAGATCCCATGGCCCTGCATCCCCATCAGCACTTGGCATCGCCGTCCTCTGCATTTCGGCCACTCCTGTGGGTGCMCAGCGTGTCTGGGTGCCTCGCTGAGGCTTCACTTGGCATTTCCTCAGGACTCACGGGGTTGAGCACCCGCTCACACGCTCTCTGCTACTTCACGTGGTCTCTGACAAAGAGTGGCCTACTTTTAAATTGGATTGCTTGATTTATCAGTGGGTTGTAAGAGTGCTTCCCGTGCTCCGGACGCAA